AGCAGACCCATCTTGATGGGGTACATGACAATCCGATACGGATCAGTACTGAGCTGCCCATGGCATCTGGGACACCGATGTATGATCTCGCCTGCTGCTTTCCCAACGCAAGACATAAAATGAGCCCCTATGTGTAGAGGTCAATTGCCACCCTAAGTTAGGAGGTGATGTCACTGAAAAAGCTGCTCATCCCATCCTATCTCCATCCCGGCTTGGTAGCGCCCAACAATGCTGTTCAGAAGCATGTCTATGGCATTCACGTGTGGTAGTCTGAGTGTGCTGTCCAACATTCACAATATATCAAACTCCTTCTGAAATTAGTTGGACCCCTTCTTCTAAGCCAGTTCCTTACAGCCATAGGGCACAGGTACTTGATGCCTTCTGGGCCTGACCTCATTACAGCATTGCTGTTTGGGGAAGGGCGTGTTTAAACAGTGGTGCCTTGCGGCGTGCTCTGTAGGTGGTGTGAGTGACATCTCTAACATCTAAATCAGTGAAAGCAGTGCTGCTGGGGAGACAGAAGGAGCACCAAGGGCAATTATACAGTTAGTACATTTTTAAAAAGCATTTAATTCCACCTTCAAGGCAATTTGCTTGGATTATGGCATATCTTTTCGCAGTACAGCAGAGCGAATTATTTGCTATGAAAATGAATGTGGAAAAAATGTAGCCATTCTGCTTGCTGAATGTTCATCTATAATCAGAAGATGTACACAAAGGGTATGTCCACACTACCCGCCGGATCGGCAGGTAGCGATCGATCTATCGGGGATTGATTTATCGCGTCTCGTCTAGACACGATAAATTGATCCCCGAACGCGCTCCCCGTCGACTCTGGAACTCCACCAGGGCAAGAGGTGGAAGCGGAGTCGACGGGGGAGCCGCTGCCATCGATCCCGCGCCGTGTGGACCCCAGGTAAGTCGATCTAAGATATGTCGACTTCAGCTATGCTATTCTCATAGCTGAAGTTGCGTAACTTAGATCGATCCCCACCCCCAGTTTAGACCAGGCCAAAGATGTATAAATTACATCTACATCAAAAACATGGGACAAATTCCGGCCTATCAGGGAAGTAGCTCCATAATGGAAATGCGTGGATATTGCAAATGCAACCTTTGAAATAGCAACGTGCTACTGGATTGTGACCAGTAGTGACCCAGCCCTACCCACTGGCCTTCCTTACCCACCTTATCTCTGCTAGGAACATGAATGGTCTGTTGGAGGTGTGTTCATAGTCACCATTGCTGGGTCAGGTGGCCTATGCATACGAATGGGTGGACCACATTTTCTTATACTGAGGCTCCAACCAGGAGTGTCCTTCCCTGGTCACCTGTCATGGGACAGCTGTGGAGCAGCTTTCCCCACTCGCTTTGGGAGGGGGTTGAAACTGAGGTGGAAGGTCTCTCCCGTTCCTTGAGGATTTTGTGGCATATGGCGCTGTGCGCACAGCAGCCAGAATTTGGTCCTGGGTTTACCTTCTTAGCCAGTCTGGACTGAGGTGTGTGTGTGTGTGTGTGTGTGCGCGCCATAGTATGGGAGAGGAAGCATTGGCTTGTGCACCAAATAACTACTTAGTGACATAAAGCCCGTTTCATTTATGTGAGTGTGACTAATGAACTGAAGTAGTGGATGAGGAAGGTGGCATGAACAGCTTGGGAAGAGCGAAGCAGCTAAGCCAGGGGTGGCCAACCTGTGGCTCCGGAGCCACACACGTCTCTTCAGAAGTTAATATGCAGCTCCTTGTAGAGGCACCGGCTCCAGGGCTGGAGCTACAGGTGCCAACTTTCCAATGTGCTGGGGGGTGCTCACTGCTCAACCCCTGGCTCTGCCACAGGCCCTGCCCCAACTCCACCCCTTCCCGCCCCCTCCCCGGAGCCTGCTGTGCCCTCGCTCCTCCCCCTCTCCCCCAGAGCCTCCTGCACACCACGAAACAGCTGATCGGGAGGTGCGGGGAGGGAGGGGGAGGTGCTGATCGGCGAGGCTGCCGGTGGGTGGGAGGTGCTGGGATTGGGGGCGGGGGGAGCTGATGGGGGGGTTGCTGATGTATTACTGTGGCTCTTTGGCAATGTACACTGATAAATCCTGGCTCCTTCTCAGGATCAGGTTGGCCACTCCTGAGCTAAGCTACCTTCAGCAGTTTTTGTGCAAATTATCAAGATTATAAACGGACATACAAAGTAGCTTTGAATGCAGCTGCCTGTATTAAAATGTCCGGCTATCACGCAGTATTTGTTTTCTGGTGTGCATTGGGATAGGTAGCCTGTTTAGCATAGACTGTATGCTTTTGAAATACAAAATTGGGGCTGTATCCTACTTTTATTATCACGAGGGGTGAGAGAGGTCAATTAAACCATTCTGGATTTTGCTTGAAATTGACATGGATGTGTGACCTGCATTCCTTAGATAAAATATCTCCTGGTATAATTACACCTACGTTAATATTCATCTCCAGTAATTCCTCTCATGAAAGTTCTCAGCAGATGAATACCCATAAGAAGCATAAACCTCTCTCTTGCAAGCCTCTTAGACTAATCTTCCCTTCATATGGGAAAAGCAATTAGAGACATACAGCTTTCTCTCTAAGTGCTGTAGTTTTCTTTAAATGTTTCCCAAGGCTGACCATATGGCCAGCACTACCCGTCCTGTTCCAATCCCTAAGGTGTTTCTCAAAAGATGTTAGAAAATCCCCACTGCATTGTAAGTGTTTTTCTCACTCATCATTGGACCTTATACTCTGGACAGTGTAGCCATAAAACAGCGATGTACCTTTAAAACAAGACACAGGCACTGTTTTAAAACATAGAATCTGTATCGTGTTACAGTACACTAGGACGTATTGTGATTCAGTTTTTGTTTGTTTGTTTATTTACTCTGCAGCCTCATTAAAGAAATATAAGCCATTCTAAAATGCAAATGGTCGGGGGACTGGTGGATGTCTTTGTTTTTTGATTACATGCAATTCCTGATTGGATAGCACATCACAAGTAGCTACTGGAGCCTGATTCATCAGCGCGTTACTCCAGTTTGAAGCGGGTGTAACTTCAATAGTGGAGTCATGTGGTGAGAAATCAGGCTCTGTGTTGACCTGTGGTGACCCAAATGTGACCTACAGAGCTTGTAGGTAACCTTCAAAGTTCTACTGTACCTCATCCTATGGCTTGGAGGGATTAGATTTTAATTAAATTCTAGATTTCTCCCTCTACCCTAGTGGTTCTCAAACTTTTGTACTGGTGACCCCTTTCACATAGCAAGCCTCTGAGTGCAACCCCCCCTTACACATTAAAAACACTTTAAAATATATTTAATACTATTATAAATGCTGGAGGCAAAGCAGGGTTTGGGGTAGAGGCTGACAGCTCGTGACCCCCCCCCCCCATGTAATAACCTCACGACCCCCTGAGGGGTCCCGATCCCTAGTTTGAGAACCCCTGCTCTACCCCAAACAGCAATGGAAAACATCTGCATCATTAATAATTGACACCTACAGAGCAAGAAATTTGAAAACGTAAGATACATTGTGCTTGTAAGTTACAATTCTCTCTGGCAAGCTGGTAAGAAGAAATTAATGTTATATAGTCAAAGTACTATGATTTAATTTCTAAATCTTGACTTGTTTTACAGTTATTACATTTTAGATAAATAATAGCTTTTAGGTGAGTTCATTTTATTTCCAGCTAAGGCATAAATCTCAGTTGATTGCACAGTTTCAAAAAGACTTTGCAAATTATTACTTGTAGACAATGTCTTTAGGTTTAGTTCAAAAATAAATACAAATGTTATCTGTTAAAATGCATAAAAGCGAAAAGTAGAATCCTGCCTAACCTATGCATCTTTATTTTGGGACTGCAACCATATAGAAACCACTAATCCCATCATGCACTGCTCCTCCCAGTATGGAGAGAGATTTAAGGCTAAGGGCCGGACAGGCAAATGAACTGGGGTTGGTGAGGTCTTAATAATATGGGTGAACATGGAGTTTGGGTATGGGGGGAGGGAAGACACAACCAGGAATTGATGGGGAGGGGGAGGGGAGCTAGTGAGAGAACCAAGATCACCCTCTATCTCCCCCCCCCCCCAAAAAAAAACCCCAACAACCCTCCACTCACTGTTCTGATCCCCTCAACAACCTCTCCTTTTGCTGGGGCATTCAGCCTTCTTCCCACTGGGGTTCTTTCAGAGCTGGCCCCCACCTGCTAAGCTTGTGTCTGCAGTGGAGGAATGGACAGAGGCTTCCGCTGCCCACAGCCCCTCCTGCAGGGGAAAAGAGGAAGCACAGCACCATTGATCTAGGTGTTGATCAATGAAGCAGTGAGAGGCCAGTTTTTCATGTTACGGGTGGTCAGTAGAGGTGGGATTTATTTACATTACAGAAGTGGACTCTGCTGTGCTTGGCGCCGTACAAACACACAGTAAGTGCTTTGGGGCAGGTATTGTCTCTTACTGGCTGAGTGGACAAGACAGGGTGGGAGAGAGGAAGGATTATTATCCCATTTTACAGAGAGGGAACTGAGCCACAGGGAGAAAGTCACTTACCCAAGGACAAGGAGGAGTCTGTGGTAGAACTGGGAATTGAGGCCAGATCTCCTGAGTAGGGGCCTTAACTATAGACATCCTCTACCTTTGTGGGTGTTAGATCAGAATTTTTTAGTCTTTAGCACTGACAAGATCTAGAGGTCTGAACAAAACACACACAGACACAGTCCCTGACCTGAGAGACTAGCCTAGGTTAAGCTTTAATTCATACATCCCTATAGTGCCCATATGTTGGCTTATGTATTCATTTTTATTTCTTGTTTCTCCTTTTCCCCACATTGTAGACCTTTACAACCAGGATCTGCCCTGAACCCACTGGGCACGTACCTCAAACTGAATGAGAACAGAATGGCAAAGTCCAAAGAGAACGTCCATCATGACAGGATTGTTTGCACATCTTTAAAAGTCAATTCAATTGATTCAGATACTTGAACTTTGGAAAAGTCCCACATTAATTATTTACAGGCTGAAAAATAGAGCTTAAAAAGAGTGGGATGTGAGAAGAGACTTATCCTGCGGGGTCTGCAAAATGTCTGGAAAACCAGTCTGTGTTGGTGATTTTGAACAATACGCCAAGAGAGTTCTTCCAAAAGCAGTGTACGACTATTACCGATCAGGAGCAGACAATCAACAAACATTAGCAGATAATGTAGCAGCATTTTCAAGGTAGGAAAAAGACAGAGTCGCTCTTTAATATGTTGAAAGTCTTTACTAGGAGTAGAGCCGGTTGGGGAATAATTTTTTTCCCTGCAAAAAAAAAAAAAAACCTGAAATAAAAAATTGTTCACTTTCATCGACATTTTTCTTTGAAAAGAGAAAATAAATTAGTTTTTACGTAACATGTTTTGTGAACATGGAATTTCTTGAAAATTTCATTTAATAACAAAAATATTTTCCATCCAAAGATGGAAAATATTTTTGGCAGAGTTTTTTTTTTTTTTTTTTTTTTTTAGTTCTTTTTGAGAGCCAGATCGATTTTCCATTGAAGTCTGTAGAAAGACTCCTATTGACTTCAGTGTGCTTTGGAGCAGACCTGGGATAAGCAATATTTAATCTGCTAATTGAGATTTTAATTTTTACACTCGTCTTCACACATCTGCCATCAGGGTATGTTTCAGCCTCCCCATTTTTTCCGGGGGGCAAATTAGAGATGTGGGAAAACTTCAAAACCGGATTGCACTCCAGCAAATTTGCAACTCAAGGTAACTGACACTCATGTTTATTGACTCAGACAAATGTACTAGCAGCAGCAGGTAACAATCTTTAGACCAGTTTCAACCTTTGTCAGATTCTCTTTACGAGGATGAAATTCAAGGGGATTTATATCATATCTCAAAATAGTGAATCACTGCTCCTCCACTCAGTTATTCAGACTGCCAATGATGTGCATTCTTGCAGGGCTGCTGAATCAAAGCTGTGTCCTATTGGTCCACCCGGGGACAAACCATAATACCTAGTGCACAGTCTGAGTGGCTAGGTTGCATGCTAGACATCTCTACTAAGGCCAGCCATTACTGGTGGGCAGTCAGAGGACCAGACTAGTTCTGTTGGATGGAGGCCTTTCTCAGGCCTGGTCTACACTAGAAAATTCAGCAGTCTGGAAAACGCACCAGCACCAGAGACAAAAGCTAAATAAGTAAATAAATTAATGGAGATATCCTATCTCCTAGAACTGGAAGGGACCATGAAAGGTCATGGAGTCCAGCCCCCTGCCTTCACTAGCAGGACCAAGTACTGATTTTGCCCCAGATTCCTAAGTGGCCCCCTCAAGGATTGAGCTCACAAGCTTGGGTTTAGCAGGCCAATGCTCAAACCACTGAGCTACTTTTCTATCTTTGCTATTTTCTTTTCTTTTCTCTTTTTGAGAGTGTGTGTGTCATATTTTGTCTTAAAGAAAACAGGATCAGACTTCAACGACGGCACCAGACCATCTAAACTAACATTTCTCCAAAAAAGGCCAGTTACTACCATCTTTTATACTGTCTAAAAGACAGACAAAGAGGGACATTCCCAATAAATAACTCTGTGCAGCTAAAGGGAAGAGAATAAGGGATATGGCTAAAATGAAAACCTTACTCTTAATATTTTGTATTTCTAATGCTGAAACAGTTTTTCCTTCTTTTTCTGTATCTTTAATGAAAGGTTAAAAAGATGTTAATGGTGGTGGTTATAACCGGAGAAAGCCAGCCATAACTTGACGTGAAATTTTTGGACCACACTTAGCCATTTAATATAACAGGAAACAAGGGTTTCATTAACATCTTGTCCCTTGATGGGTTATCACTACAACATATAGAGTATAACTGATGCCTATGGAAGACATAACAGGTGTGACCCTGCCTGTTACATCATAGGACAATGCAGATAGCTTATCTCTATTACTTGAAAACTAATTATTTTTAATTGTAAGTCCCCTTTGGATGTTCAGCCAAACGGCTCACTCAATTAACTGCTCAGTTTTTTCCTTAGCAAGTGTTTATTGGCCTATTCATATGTGACAAATATTCTGCATTATATGGGATTAATTACCTTGGATGAGTAAATACCATTATATCAACTTTTAGAAAGGATGAAATGCAAACACTCATTAACAATGCGCATTCCCACTGAGGTCAATGGGACTTCTGCCATTGACTTCTCTGGGAGTGGAAGCAGGCCCAGTATATTTTTTCAGTGTTACTTTTTATAGGGAGGAGTCTTTACTGTTGGGAATTATTATTGGAAAAATCCAAAACAGCAGTTGTGGTTTAATACTAAGAAAAACTGGCTCTGTTATGGTGCTATTCAACACTAGACCTCAAAGCACTTTACAAAGAAAGGTAGTAATCCTTGTCCACATTGTACAGCTGGGGAAACTGAGACACACAGCAAGGTGAAATGACTTGCCCAAGGTCACCCAGCAGGTCAGTGGCAGAGCTGGGAATGGCACTCACATCTTCTGAGTCATAGTCCAATGCTCTAGCCACTAGGCCATTCTACCATATTATATTTAATATGTGCAGCTAACAAAGTCCTTTCTATTCGAATGCTCATTCTCCATTTAGGTGACTGTCAGGTGCTTACCTGCTCCTGTGACACTGTAAAATCAAAGGGTTTTTCACTGGTTGGGTGCTAATATATATGTAATTGTTAGAACTTATAGAGGCATCTTGAGAATATGCGATACTCCCATTCCCTTATCCAGGGGTTCTCAAACTGGGGGTCGGGACCCCTGAGGGGGTCAGAAGGTTCTTACATGAGGGGGTCATGAGCTGTCAGCCTCCACCCCAAATCCCACTTTGCATCCAGCATTTATAATGGTGTTAAATATATTAAAAGTGTTTTTAATTTATAAGGGGGGGGGTCACACTCAGAGGCTTGCTGTGTAAAAGGGGTCACCAGTACAAAAGTTTGAGAACCACTGCCCTTATCTATGCATAGCTATCAGGAAAGGTAGTAGGTTGGCATTTCTACAGATACAAAGTTAATGTAGTTTGGGTGCTTTGTTTGAGAAGTGCAACCTTAACTGCATTCCTGGATTTCTAGTGCGTATAAGTATTTTTAAATGCTAATGTTTCTGAAAGGTAACGTGCACTCGAAACATGGATGAGTGTCTGCAACCTGAGCTTCACCGCAATGATGTTTTTCTGCGGGATTCTGGAATGATTCTGAAGAGCGCCCGTTACACAGTGTTGACAATTCACCTCAGCTAAGGTTCTGCCCCATTGTGTTTTGAAGCCTATGGAGAAGGCTGCCAAATATAGGGTGACCAGATGTCCCGATTTTATAGGGACAGTCCCGATTTTTGGGTCTTTTTCTTATATAGGCACCGATTATCCCCCAGCCCCTGTCCCGATTTTTCACACTTGCTGTCTGGTCACCCTAGCCAAATATGATAATAGATTTTAATTTTCCAAGCAAATGCTCTCACGTTGTGACTCAGTATTTATCAGACCAGAGGCCCATGGTGACATGTTGAGAAGGGATGTGCAAATAGCACAATTGTATTGTACATGTTTAAAGCTTTCACTGTACTTTGGGTTGTAATGTGTGGTTGGGTGAGTACTATCTCCAGTCAATATCCTTCATGTTCCTGCCACAAGGCTGAATAAGGACGGATGGTAATATTGGGTTCTGCTCTTGATTCTGCCACAGCTTTCATGGGAGCAAATTATGGGTTGTGCTTCAGTAAACCACCCATTCCGGTGGGGGGAAAAAAGGGAATCCTACTTCTTTAGCTCACAAAGTCAGTGTTGCAAAGATTCATTAACGTTGAACTTTACTTATGAAACCCCTAAACCTCCCATCGCCTTCAACAGAGGCAAAATTAGGCCAATACTTTTGAAAACCCTACCTTAAAAGTCCAGATGTCACTTATACCTTGAAGACAAAGGAGTCTGGACTGACTGGCTTTAAAATGCAAGTTTTTTAAACTGCAAAGTAACAGCACAAAATTGAGACTGAATCAGCACTTGGAAAGTGCGTGGGAAATGCACAGGTTGCTGTTTTGGTACATGATGCAATTATTTAGTGCGTGGGAAATGCACAGGTTGCTGTTTTGGTACATGATGCAATTATTTAGGAACATGCAGGAAATAGTTTCAGTGCCTTTAAATGTGAATTACTTTGTTGGATTAGTGTTTTTTTTTTTTTTTTTTTTTTTTTTGGTCAACTCCATGGCTGCATTAAGTGACAAATGATTAGAATGGTTATCAGTGAATGTCCTAGCAAGAGAGCGATTACTTTGGGATGTGACACAGCTAATTTGGTATGTACCATGTATGCTTCTGGAGGAGTGGGAAGCACGTATAATGGATTATAAAATGCTTGTTTTAGCTTTTAGGCAATGAGAAGTTTGAGTAACTTCAAATGCTCTTGACATATAATCAGTTCACCTAGCATATAAATGTCCACGAGAGACCAGTTTTTATGCTAGTCATAGTAACTTTCTTGTATTCGTTGATTTTTCAGTGATTGTTAACACCGATCAAGAACACGAGTCCGTATTGCCACGGTTCACATTCTAATGTCAGGACTTTATTGCTAACAGTAGAGCCGTGGGATAACATGGTGGTGATTGTTGTAAAGATGAGACTTTTAAGGTCCGAGAAGATTTTGGGATATCAGAGCACGTCATCCCTACAGAATATGACCTTGCTCACCTTGCATTTGTTTTTATCTCATGTCCTTCCAAGGCTGTGCTGCCTGGTGATTAAATTCACTCCTAAAGTTTTCTAATTACCAATCAGGGTGAACAGAGAATGGATTTTAGGACAAGGTCAGGGTGTCTTTGGCTTGATGGCACTCAAGAAATCAATCTGAAATCTCTTCTTTCAGCATTTTAAATGAAGAACGGAGGGGGAGGGGAATCAAATCTCTGATAACCTGTTGTGACACACTCTGCCGTGGACTTTCCAAAGGCATTTGGAACAAGAGACGTTATCCTCAGGGACACGTACATGGAACAATGACCGCTTGTTTACCAAAGACACAGCAAATGATCATTGCCTTGTGGCTAGGTATTAAGGTCATTCAAATGACTGGACACGTATATTGAGGGAAGATTGAGAATGCAGTCAGGTTCAAGCAGGTATTTATATTCAGTTAAAAAAAAAAGCCAGGAATGTTTAGTATTTTATTCAGAAGTTCAAAGGAACAAAGAGGAACATTGCCTCTGGAAAGCCAAA